ATTTCATCAAATTGTCTTTGACCTGTTAGATATTGTAAACGTGAATTATGAATAAACTGAATTAAATGACAAAGTCTTTAGCTTTTATGAGTATATAAAGGATCATAGAGCCATGATTACGTCCTCTAGTGAACCCCACTGTAGGGCATTATTCACAAACATATAAAGGAACATGGTGTTAATCCCCAGGTTTTATACCAAGTGTTGGACAACAGGATGATGATCAAAAGAACACCACTGGTTCAACAAAGAGGTTTTTATTGTAGTTTAGTCAAAATCAAGACTTTATTTCAGTAGAGGTGCTGGACCATTACATTTATCATGCTCCAACATCCTTCAGTGTGGCCATTCAAACAACTTTGCAATGAAAAATGGGTTAAAAATTATTTACCAGGATGCTAGTTATAAATTACACCTGCACAGTTTTAGTTTTAGGAAGCATTTTCTTCCTTTAAATTGGCTAGCCCTTTTCACTTAATTAAGGAAAGCCTTTTTTGAGATTTTTATTTTTTATATTAACTGATAGTATTGTGTCTTTAAAAACTAAAACTGGAGAAATCTGTCTTTTTTTTGCAATAGTAAATATGCTCATTTTCAGCTGGATCAATATGGTGTCTTTTGTGTCATTATTTATTTCACTCATGGTTTCAATCAATCAATCAATTTCTTTATACAATTTACATTCATTGTAATCGAGATTTCAGTTTCAGCACAAACTGTTCATTGGGGAATGATTTATTGATGCTATGCGTGGCGCAGAATGCTGCCTTTTCAACCAAATACCTTTTCAACTAAACTATTCCTTTGCATGACAGCTGCTTGAATCAGAGCACAGCCTGTTGTCCTGATGTCTTCTTTGCTTAATGTGTCTCGGCATTTGACATTTTTCCATAATCAGAGCATTAAGCACCTCTGGGAGAATCCCTCGATTGTGAAACCATCAGCACTTTTACCTCCTAATTAAAGAGCAGCATTTTTTATTCCACTCTCCTCCTCTGATTTGCAACACAGTCAAGCAGATTTGTGCCTCAGGGGGTAATCTGAGACAGACGCACTCCCGAATTTAGTTCCTCGCATAAAAAACTGTGATGACACTGTGAGATTTTGGCTCTTTTGCGTGTTTGTAAATGCGCTTGTGGTGTTATGGATGGTGATTTGGCAGCCCGTCACCATGGAGACAGTGCCACTATCATGTAGGAAGGGCTTTTTTTTTTAAAGCCATGATTGGATTAAGAAAGGAGCAACAAGGGAACAATGTAATCTGATTGGACAAACTGAGGGCTGTTGGGAAAAAAACAACGTCTTAGTCTTTAACATTTTGTAATATACACTTATATCTTTCGGATTTGGACCACAGTGCCATAAAAGGTCATGTTCACACTCAGAAACATCACATTGATAGTGAAAACTGTTGCTGAAGAGGGTGGCTGTCATTTGAAGGGCAGATGTGACTTGATTTTTCAGATGCAGTTGTCGAATTAAAAGGGTTACTAGATATCTTTTTTTTTATTGCATCTATATATAAACCAAAATAAATACAGTATTAAGAGTTTAATATATAATAATGTAATAATAATGTCTGTGGGTGTATAGTATTTATACACCTTGAACATCTTTTAAATTGGTTTACACGTATGTAATTCAATCGGATTTTATGTGTTAGACAAAATATCTGGATAACCAGCACTTTGTTTCGGCTGCATGTAACCTCAGATTGCTGATTATCCAGATTTCTTGTTACTCTAGAACCACGAACCCATCTAATACCCTCTTTTTGCTTTTTGGAGCTGTGCACATAGATTTGTTTTCTATTTTATATGTTGGACTAGCACAAATGGAAATATCAATAGTAAGTCTATATCCACATCTTAGGTAACGGGCAGACAAACTAGTACCTTATGAAGAAGTGGTAATAAAAGCCTCATTGTTAAAAAATACCAATAAAAGTCCAATTTGTTTTATTAGATGTTATGGCAGAGACAAAGCTGGCATGTATAACATGGCACTCCGGTATATGGAAAACTAATACTGCTCCTCAACTTAAACACACTAATCACACAGCATTCACTGTGGGGGTGCTTTTCTTGGTTTGTTGATACATGATTTGACTTTGGGCTACAAAGTATATTGCAAATCTATCCTTATCACAGTATTTCATTCTGGAGAGAAAACACAAAGAAAAAATTCTAGAAGAAATTGTTTTTAATTGACATGAATGAAAAAAAATTCTTTGGCGCTGTGGCCCCGGCAGAAGACTTTGATGCTGTGAATAAACATTTGCTTGGATGAGTAACGTACAAATAGGGCCTGGACACAGGGGGGAAGACTACTCTAAGGGCCGGATCTATCAAAGGTTTGCATGTATAAAAACGTGAGCTATTTCACTGTGCACGCTAAAAAATTTACAAACTGATCTATCAACAGCGTGCTAAAAGGATTTGGTCTTTAAAACGTGCTAAATAGTTCCTCTTATCCATTTAGTACTTTTTCTGCAATGAATATGCAATATGGGGCGTTTACACGCAAAAGTGCGTCTTGTGGGAGGAGAACATGTAAATATATTAATTTAGCACTCGCAAAGTGATTTATCAAACCTGAAAGCAATTTTGCTAACGGTATCTGACTCTATATTTAACATGTTTCAAAAGAAGGTGCAAATGGTCTGTATGCGTAATTGCGCACACATGGCACATATTGTCGCAAGAAGGAGACATCGAAATGAAGCAAGGAGACGCAGAGATCGCATTTTTTCACTCCGTGTGAATATTTTTGGAATGAACGAGGAAACGATCATCAAAACATATCGTTTATCCTGCATTGCCATTTTGGAGCTGTTGGGGGAACTCCGAATGGATTTGGAGCCAGCCACAAAGAGGACCCACGCAATACCAGATATCACAAAACTCCTCGCAACATTGGATCTCCCAATCTCGTGTTTCAGAAGTGCTGTCTGACGTTCTAAATGCCATGTCGCCCTGACGCCCTACTGGGGGAACCCCGACCTCCCCCCTGCGCCTGTGGAGCAACATGCCAATGCTGCGGGGATATGTACGCGCAGTAATCTCATCCACAGTCACTTCTTGTGAGCCATTTTGTATGTGCATTTTTCTACTCGGCAATACAAAACACCAGTTTTTTTTTTTTTTTTTTTACTGCAGTGAAGTAGAAATTCAGCCACATACCACCTTAGGGAATAAAGCTTGCCAAAGTTTTTTCTTTATATATATATATATATATATATATATATATATATATATATATATATATATATATATATATATATATTTTTTTTTTTTTTTTGTTGGGGGTCACTGTAAGATTTAAATTTCTTAATGCACTAGTTTGTACAAACTACAAACTACTTTGCCGCAAACCACAAAACACGCAAAACCATCATTTAAATAGGGCGTCTCCAACAGTTTTGCACCTGCCACCAGGTACGCAATCGCTCTTGTTAAATCACCCGCAAACCATGGTCCAGCCCCTTGCGCAAAATTCCAGTTTGCGAGCGCAAATTACTGCATGCAAAATTGGATCTTGATAAATGTGGCCCTAAGACTACTGGTGGTGGAGTAAGCCAGAGGAGGAATGGGACTGAGAATAGCCTCAGAGTGATGGAGGAGATGGGGCTGAGATGGGTGAAAGTTTGCTGGCATGCTGGAGGGAGGCTAGGCCAGGAGCTAAATGAAGGAGATCTTGAAAGATGATTGGCTTCAGAGGATGTGTGGTCCTGACGTTGATTGGCTAAAGCTATAGCGAGGGGAATCACAGGTAGTGCAGGTGAGGCTGAAAAGAGTCTTTTAGATTGAATTTTCGCTTAAACTTCATAACTAAAGGAGATCCGGAACTACCTTGAAAGCTAGAAGTGAAGCTATCTGCTCCAACAATAAGTGTCACACATTCTTTATGCTCTTTATATCAGTAATACATGTAGAAAAGCTTGTGTAATTTAATGCTGCATCATTTTTTTAGGCTAAAAAGGAGGTAAGGTGGTGACAACATTGAGAAACTACAATTAGACTGTTTCAAAGATGAAAACGTTGAAGGTAACCAGGAGGAGCATGAAAAACGGAACAAAAAAAGTTGTAGTTGAGATGTAAATAATTGTTTTCCAGAGCAGCTTGGAGATGACTCATGATCTGAGGTCAATGTTTACTATGGACCTAAAACATAACTACATAAACCCCTTTAAATGATTGGTTTAGGTATTTCTCATATAGCTACATTATTTGTTTTCAGCATTATTGCATCTTTTTTGCATGATTTGCTAATGTCGCAAATAAAGGACTGGAAATCTGCCAAAGGCAGCAAATGGATCTTATGTTTTGCTAGGTGTTTAGCTTCCAGCAGGACTACGATAAGACATGATAAATGCAATTGCAAATCGCTAGCAAGGGTTCACAAATGCTCTCAGTCAAACCAGACTTAGCTTGAGCTATTTTTACAGAGAAGAATGGGAAAACGTTTCAGTCCCTTGATGTGCAAAGCTGGTTACTGGTTAAAGACCAGTTGAGGAAGACATTTGCTTTCTCATTGCTGGTCTGCATCTGTACCAAATGATGTCCAATCCAAACCATTCACTTTTTCAGTGCCTTTTGTTCCTTTTTTATCATTTAAAATAAATATTTATTTATGATGAGCCTCTTAAACGGAGTCTCATTATGGAAAGATTTTTAAATAAAATACATATTTAGAAATGCTAACCTTATTGATTTGCTTAGAATCTATTTAAAGTGCTGAAAGGTAAATTGTTCAGTCTGCATGTATTGAACATCGCTTAGCTGTGTTCCATATAAATTGGAGTAAACAACAAGATGCAAAATCACTGGAATGGTTATTTAGATTTAAAACAATTACTGCATGCAGAGCTCTCTATGCTGTGGTAAGGCACTCCGCCTCATCACTGCAGCAACTCCATCACCATCTCTTCGCGCTGTCCCTGGGGGTAGCCTCTGTTCTTGACTGTTTTGTCTGTAATTTGCTCCAGCTCATGCAGCTCATCCTGCATGTTGTCCCACGTCCAACATCAGAGAGAAGCTGCAGAATGATGGAGGTACAGGCACCTGTTAATTCCCTCTTAGCCAGACCCCTCTCTCTCTCCATCTTTTAGCCAAGCAGCTGACATTTAACAGGGAGTGTCGGTAATAGGCTGCAGGAATGTCACTGACATTCACTTTGTATGATGTGAGATAGGTCAGTGGCTGTTTCACTGTCGCTGTGTCCAGGACTTAGTCCAGACTGATGGTGATAACCTGTCAGGCCGGTACCCCTGGGGTTGTAAAGCAATAAAGGAGCATTAGGTCCTGGACTTAGACTTGCTAAAAGGTTGCATGAATCTTTGAACACAGATCAACATGAGTAAAATAAAAAATAAGTAGCACATCTATAACAATGGCACATCGATTTTATCCAAGTCATGCATTTGTATCCAGCTCCAGTAACTACTACTGCTAAAGAAAAAGTCCATAGCAACCAACTACCTTCAAAAAGGGTAAATAGAATAGGGTTGTCAAAAGTATCGATACTCAAAAAAGTATTGATACTGAAATGTTGTATCCGGATACAATACTCATTTTCAAAACGGATACAATACTCATTTTCAAAAGTATCGATACAGTGCTACCACCAGTGTAGGGTTGTCAAAGGTATCGATACTCAAAAAAGTATCGATCCTGAAACGTTGTATCAGGATACAATACTCATTTTCAAAAGTATCGATACAGCCATCTAAAGTGCAGAATAGTGGAAAATGCACTTACAGAACATTGTGTGATTGAATAATTCTGTGCATTTTTCAGTTTCAGACTTTTTTTGTAACAGGTGCAGCTGCTGAGAATTATTTTTGCTTCTTAACTGGTTGGCTAGTGTCATTGTTACAGTATGTCTGCAAAACATAGCCAAGGAACATTTAATTTTAGTTTTGTAAGTTTTTTATCAAGCTTGCTTAATATTGTGCACAGCATACAAGCTCAACATATTATTCTTATTGTTTTTTTATTTATTTCTTGTATTTTTTTAGTAATGAAAATATTTCTGTTGAATTTTAGAGTCTTTGTTTTTATCCTTGTGGTATCGAAAATGGTATCGAGTATCGAATATTTTACTTAGTATCGGTATCGAGTTGAAAAGTTTAGTATCGTGACAACCCTACACCAGTGGCACCTAAAGTGCATCTAATGTGCAGAATAGAGGACAATGCACTTTCTGAACACTGTGTGATTGAATAATTCTGTGCATTTTTCAGTTTCAGAGTTGTTTTGTAACAGGTGCAGCTGCTGAGAATTATTTTTGTTTGGCTAGCGTCATTGTTATGTGTGCAAAGCATAGCCAAGGAAGGAACATTTAATTTTAATTTCATAAGTTTTTATCAAGCTTGCTTAATATTGTGCACAGCATACAACCTCAAAATATTGTTCTTATTGTTTATTGTATTTTATTTATTAATGAAAATATTTCTGTTGAATTTTAGAGTCTTTGTTTTTATCCTTGTGGTATTGAAAATGGTATCGAGTATCGAATATTTTCCTTAGTATCGGTATCGAGTTGAAAAGTTTAGTATCGTGACAACCCTAAAATAGAGTCCATCCGATTGTAAATACCTCTCAGCATAACAGATGCTTCTATCAAAACGTTGGGATGTTTAAAGCAGGTTCGGATCAGAAGATAATATTTTTTAAGAATATGGATCAATTTTCAACCTGATGGGCAGGTTTATGGCCTCTATGGACTCTGCAAGTGGAGCATTAATTAGAAGTTCATGGTTTTTCTGGGGGAGCTGAAGTAAGACATAGCTCAGGGTGGCATAATGCATTTTATTGACCTTGCTTTTATCAAGTCTGAAGAATAAAGTCAAACGAATCGCTATGTAGAGTACACAGAAACGTTCAGGAAAACATTCTGGTATGATGATGGTAGTGAGGCTTTAAATGTAACAGAGCGCATCGATCTAAAAAAAAATCCTCCCAAGGGTGAAATATGTCGGTGGAAGCATCATGCTATGGGCATGCGCTGGTCTTGTACCAAACTTTTCTACATAAAACAAGACCATTTGAATGGAAGTGTATGCTCAGTGTGACAGTTTGAGGGTTTAGATCAAAGTACGACTATGTGTTTGAAGAATGCAGCCAAAGTCCAGACTTATGTCAAAATGTACATTTGTCACAAAACTTACAAATGAATTTTTTTGCAGATATTATTCATTCAGCCTTCCCTTCATAATAATATTTTGGTTTGCGTTTGCCTTTCACATCAAATAACATAAAAAAAAAACTTTAGTTTAAGACTTGGAAGGTACTGTAATACTGTTATTGAACAATAAACAGAATTAGCTAGGCACCTTTACTGTAAAAGTCTAGAGTGGACAAGGACTAGTAAGCACAAAACAGGCTGAAATTGGAAGACATTCAGATTTTAGCTCGGTTTTTGAGATATTCTGACACCTATGCTGGATTCTTTGTCAGTTCTGGACTAGTTGTGTGCCATGACAACAGATATAATCACTATTGAGAGATGGAGAAATTGTCTCCAGCCTCAGATGAGATGAATATTGAAGGTTGGGGGCCTTAAATTTGTCCTTAAACTTATTTACCCATTTTTTGTTTTCTCTGGGAGGAACAGAGTCTGTGTGCTAATCATATGTACTTCAGTACTGTATAACAGGAAGAAATTCTATTAATCTAATGCTGTCACCACTTCCACCTGTTGTAAAACAAGGAAGGCTGATGATGAAAATGAAAACCCCACCTTATCTATACAAGTAAACCCTGATTGATGTTTCTCCTTTATGTTGTGTCATTCGTTTCTTTCCATGTCAAGTGCCAGTTGTTCTGCTGTTTACCCCTTCATTAATTCATCTATGAGAGATGAAGCAAAGCTCCTCATCCTCTGGTAATTAAACCTCTGTCGCTGGGGTGTTTTTTTCTCCAGGAAAACTGTTGCACATTCACGCAGACGCCCCTTTCTCTGAGAGGCCGGCGTGGATAATTAGTCCGCCGAGGGGTTTGCAGTGATTGCTTCATTATTTCTCCAGGCATGTGTACGAGATGTTTGATGGGTGCTCCAGAGTAATCTATTGAAGAGCGGCTTACAGGGTATATGCACATTGTTGCCCAACCCCTTTAAGAACAATTCAGTCAGGAGCTCACACAATGAGCAGTGTTGCTGGATGTGGGCTTCTGGTTTGTTACAGTTGTGAAACACGGATTTATCAGCAGGGTGCAGATTCCTCCCTGATTTCTAAGAAGTATAATTTTTCTAGGCAGGTTTACCCAGATGCTGCATGCAGGGTGGCAATTATCAACCCATTTTAGTATCAAAATTATTATTTTACTTGTTCTCTAAGATGCCAAAAAAAATCCTGCAGATTTCTGAGTCAATGACAGCATATTTAATCAGTCCCTTTGAAACAAAGATGTTGCTTAAGTGGGTCTGAAATAAGACTTCTGCACGTTTTCCTTGAAGTTTCCATGTAGTCAAAAGAGCCATCAACTTGAATCAAACACTGACTCAGATGATTTGTTTGTGGTAGCTTTATAAAATCCTCTAAGATGTTTTTTGTACTCTTTGATGAAAGGGTATGAAATTAAAATTTAACATCTTTATAAGTTGAACTTTCCCCCTCATAGTAAAGACTAATTTTTGTTATTTTGTAGCAACAAGATGAAATTTTCCTTGAAAAAGGTATGCCAAAAACATCTGTTGAAGCTTTTATGACTTCAATATCATATATTTATGTTTTAGATTATGTCCATCTCTCTCTATCCACTCCCCTCTGGTTATTTAAGGTTAGGTAGCAGGCTTAGCAGAAGAACATTTAGGGGATCCCTACATGTTTCTAGGTCAGTGAGTATATTTATATATACATATATATGATTGTACATAAATACAAGGTCTGATTGTGTTCTGCAATCTTCTGCTGCTGGGATGCACTCTGATGTCCTCCGAAGGGAGGTGCTCAGGAGACTCCTGATCAGATCTCCAAACTAACTTGGGTGGCTTTATTCGGCGTGCATTTAAACTAAAACAAAACGCTAATATTAGTCTGTATTCCTTGTAGAACATGGTTTACCTTAATTTTGCGATTTCCTAAATGTTATCAACACTTCCAGTTCTAGGATGTTGTACAGTAGAGACCTAAATGATGTAACAGATTTAATTTGACTCCAGTTTTAATAACTTACTAACATAGCGGTATGTGTCTTCTATCAGCTAAAGCAGTGAAGTTGACCTGATAGTGCTGACTGGTTTGGAAAAGGTCAGATTTTTCAGTTTACATCACTAATAAGGACTGGACACCATCTCTATTGTAAATGTCCTGTTTTTACAGCTGAACTAACACACCCAAATGTAGTTCGTCTCATTTTTATTTTTTCAGAATCAGATTATACTAGAGTGGTGAATATAAATTTGCAAATGTCTTCCAGGGTTAGTGGAGGGTGATGAAATTTTGAAAGTATTTCAAAGTATGCCTATTTTTTCCCTTAAAGGTTCCTGTCTACTGCCTGAGAATAATCCAAATAACATGTCACTTACTCAGCCCGTCGTTCACCTCCTATTCTGACTGAGTTCCCTCAGGACGGGCCCTCAGTTGGAACTCCTTTTGAAAATGTCAGCCCTGTCACGTCATCATATCTTCTGTCATCGGGGGAACGTCAGTCCCTGGCTTTAGTCATTACAGCTGTGCCTGCCACTGGTCCCTGTCCATCAACCTTTACACATCATGCTCCTAACCAAACATCATCTCTCAAATTACTGAAGGAGAAAGAGGTCAGGTGCCTGGATCGAAGAGAAAAGCCTTCATCGCTTTCAAAACAAACCACATTTAACGTCCCAAATACTAACTTTGGCATGCTGCAAAGCATAGTTTATGCTCCCGTCTAATTGGCTGATTAGGCTTTCTGTCTGTTTGGGAGCTGAATAACTGAGCTGCTCACTAAATACTAAATCCTCCTGTCTCAAGCAAACAGTCCTTGTTGGTTTTTGTTCTGCACTTGTCTGTTAGCCTGATTAAAATGGAGAAGGCCTAACTCGTTGCGTCTGTCAACATACACAAGC